TATATATATATATATTATGTGTGTGCGCGCTGATCCGTGTTCTTGTCCATCAGGGGGTGCCTACAACATGCCGCTGGTGCCAAGATGTATGTCCTAAGCCCCAGCCCAGAACCACAGACGCTGCCAGGCTCCCCCGGAGATGTTGCAGAGGAGGAGCAGAAGATCCAGCTCTTCATCCATGCCTTCAATCAGATCAAGGAGGCAGGTGAAGAGGGTGTCTTTAAGGGTACCTCTCAGAGATCTATACTGTAAGGGCTTTGCAAGGGCTAAGAACTTTTGGGGCATGGGCTCCCGGGTTTTAGACTTTACTCAGGTTTAGGGTGCATGGAGTTTTCAGGGTTTTGATGGGTTCTTTGGCTGCAGGTTTAACTTGAGGTCTTGCAGTGTTGCTTCCCAGCTGATCGGCAGAGTCTGGGTTCAAAAGGGAGCGGCACCCTAAATCCTGAACCCTATCCTAAGGCTCCCGGACCCTTGTAGTGAGATCCCACACCCTAGCCCCCAAAGCCGAACAAAAAGCCTAAGACCCTCTTAGGATCCTAAGGGCAAACCCTAAACCCTATCAGCATGAAAGCAGAGACGGATACTTCGGGATACACGTCCGTGCAGCATTAATGCTTCGGCAAGCCCTCTGATATCTCCCCCTACTGCCCAAGGGTATTGGGGTTTAGGGTGTGCGGTTTAGGGATTAGGGTTTAGGGTATTGCTCCAGAGAGACCTCGTTCAAGAAAGGCATGGATTAAGTGACTTCAATACCTCAACACCTGCTGTTCATAGGTTGAAATTTTCGGAAAATCGGCCAGCAGCCCGATAAACCCCTCAACCCCGAAGCCCCCAAGCCCCTTACCCCCGCAGAACGAAGAAGTACTTACCCCCCAGAAACCTTCAAAGAATCCTAAACCCTATATACATATACACCCGCACGGAATCACAACCCCTCAACCCCGAAACGATACCATGCCGTAAGCTCATTGACGAGCCTTGAGGCGACAGGCATTGAAAACAGGCCTACCTTCACCGAGTTTCGTCGAAGCCCTGTGGTTCACGGTTTATAGGGTTCTGCGGGGTTTATGTGGTTTTTGGGTTTTTTGGTTTATGCCTAAGCACTAGATTCCTGAAGCCAAAACTCCTGAATCTCTACACCATTACACTGACCAAAGCCGAAGATGTTGGCTTAGTTATATTTCGATGTGTCAACAGGAAGCTGGTGCTGACCCTTGGGATGTTAGCTCATAGGGACCCTTAGAAGGGTAGGGGGCAGGGCCTGAATACCATTTATAAGGACCTAATAAGGCCCATTTAAGGAAGTATAGTCCCGTACCCCTTACCCCGCTAAGGCTCCCTCTAGCTAGCCTAAAGCACAGTGGGCCTTGGCAAAAGCTGATGCTACTACGGCGATGGTGCTGGACCCTGGCAGCAAGGCTGCTGTTGATGGCTGATGCTGCTGATGCTGGCCGGCTGCCGGGCCTTGCCTAAAAGGCAGTGGGGATGATGCAGTGGCCCAGCGCATACGGGTGAAAGAAGGTTTGGGGGCTGGTGCTGCCGATGCTGGCACGTGTCCGGTCCCTGGCGGCATTGGGGATGATGCTGGCCCAAAGTGCAGGGGCGAGAAACGCTTTGGGAGGGTTTTGTTGCTGTTGATGGTGGCTCAACGTGCAAGGGCAAAAGACGGTTTGGGTTCTGATGCTGCTGATGCCGGCCCGCTGCCGGGAATCGGCTGAAACCCAAAGCGTGGCGAAGAAAAGTTTGGGGGTTGATGCTGCCGATGCTCGCCCGCTGCTGCCGGGCGCTGGCCCAAAGGCATCGGGGATGATGCCGTTGATGTTGGCCCGACGCGCAGGGGGGCTGATGCTGATGCTGGCCCAAAACGAGAAGGGCGAAAAAAGGTTGGCGCACTGATGCTGCTGAGGCTGGTCCGCTGCCGTGCCCTGGCTAAAGGCATCTGGGATGATGCTGCTGATGCTGGCCCAAAGTGTCCGGCGAAAGTAGATTTGGGGGCTGATGCTGCTGATGCTGAGTGGCTAAACTTTTCTAAGCGGCGTTGGGGAAGATGCTTTTGATGCTGGCCCAGACGCGTAGAGGCGAAAAACGGTTGGGCTGATGCTGCTGATGCTGGCCCAAAGGGCAGGGGCAACAAACGCTTTGGGCTCTGATGCTGCTGATAGTCGCAGGGGCGAAAAAAGGTTTGGGGCTGATGCTGCTGATGCTGGCCCGCTGCCGGGCCTTATGCTGGCAAAGCGTAGGGGCGAATGAAAGTTTTGGGGCTGATGCTGCCGATGCTCGCCCTCTGCTGCCGGGCGCTGGCTAAAAGGCATCGGGGATGATGCCGCTGATGCTGGCTCAAGGTGGCCACAAAGGATAAGGGGCTGATGCTGGCCAGCTGCTGGGCCTTCGCAAGAGGCATCGGGGATGATGCTGCTGACGCTGGCGCGTTGGGAAGGGGCGGAAAAAGGTTGGCGGGCTGATGCTGCTGATGCTGGAAGGCATTGGGCATCGCCGCTGATGCTGGCCCAAAGTGTCGGGCGAAAAAGAATTTGGGGCTGATGCTGCTAAACGTCATCGAGGATGATGCTCTCAACCCAACGCGTAGGCGCGAAAACAGTTTTGGGGGCTGATGCTGGCCCACCCACGGCCACGGCGAACACGGGTTCAGGGACTGGTGCGATATGGTGCGTTTCGTCAGTGTGTTGGATCTTCGAGGCGTTGGCGAGTTGCGAACACTCAAATGTAGTGCAAAGCATTCATCCCCTGCGATTGATATTAAGCAACGGACTTCTCAGAATCTGTCAAGGGTCTTAATTACTTGCACAAGTCGAGACTTGGCAGGCCACTGGCGTGAATGATCCCAACGAGATCATCCAGAAGTTCTTGGGCCTGAGTTGGAAGCCTCTGAAAGCCTGGGATGCATGTACTTGCGTATTGCGCCGTCTGGTATAGACATACAGGCCTTATGAAGAGGTTCCTATGTAGTATAGGTTTACAGCCGAGGTATAACACGGCGTACATGGTGCCCTAGAAACAAACAAGACCGCGGTAGCCTTGCAAGCTGAACCTTTGCAAAGGCTGGTTCGGGGCTGTACAGGCGTGGCATGTCACGTATACCGTGAGTGCACTTCTCTTGTTTGAGCTTTATTTGCACTCGCCATGTGAGTTCTTGTGCAGAAGCGCTGCGAACAGGTAGTCGCGTTTCGAAGGCCCAGTGCCCCATCGAGGGCGGCATGCTGTAACTGTAGTAGACCAGCGGCCTGTAACATACTTCTTCTTTTCATTAATACTGTTTCTATTATTCTTACTCTTGTCATGTTTTTTTATCACTGTTATGAATATGATTGTTACTATGAGTAGTCGTATAGTGGTAGGCTTATAACGAGTATTACCATTATCTTCATATTTTATCATTATCATCATAGTTATTATTATTGGAATGAAATTACACGGCTATTATATTTATAGGGTGTTCTTATTGTTCTTTCAATTCATCCAAGCCGGCCGGCGAGGTTCCTCACGCAGGACGATACTCAGAAGAACCTCACCCAGCTCACCAAGGACGCGAGCTCTGGTATGCTGCTTGGAAGCCCACTCCAAGTTTAAGGTTTATAGGGTTTCGGCTGAAGCAACCTTGGAGGTGAGATTCCCTTGTACTTCGGAGCAGCGGTTGGTTTCGGAATACAGCGGAAATATGAAGGCTTTGGTTGGAAAGAGGTTCACAGTTGTTTGCGACTCTTGTTCTAGTGGTATGAGGCTTCGTTACCTATCTCTTTCTCTCTCTCCCTCTTGCTCGACTTCTTGGTCTGACAGGACAGCTTCGATGGAGGTCTTGCAAGGTTTCCTACAGGAACCCTGATATAACTACAAAGCCTAAATTCTAAAATCCTTCCCGGGCCCTTAACGTTCTCTTTTGAGAATGCGAAGCCCGAAACACTAAGCCTGAAATCCCAGGACCGCTACATGTAGCCCAAACCCGGAAACACGAGCTCGGACCTCCTTTGCCATGCCTGCCTCGTGCGAGTGTGTGAGTCGAAACCACGAACATTCAAGCCCGGCATAGCGCCGTTATGTATGCCGTAAAGATACCGTTAAGTTAGAAAATCTAGAACCTTTACATATCCCGTAAGGCTATACCATCACAGAAACGTCACAGGACAGCCACAGCCCTAAAACTTCCCACTAGTGTGAGGGCCGAAACCTTAAATCCCCAAACCTAAAGCTCCTAAACCCTACATGCTTGAAACCTCTGAAACCTTAAACCCTGCAAGCCCCTGAGCCTTGAAACCCGCAGGACAACCACAGCACCATCGAGAAGCTTCAGGAGGAGAGGCGCGATCTCCGATCGAAGGTCGAGGAGCATTGGGGTTTGCTGGGACTTTTTAGGGTTTAGGGTTTAAAGGGGGGTCTTTAGAGATGGAAGTGCAGTCATGAGAGCTGAACCTCCGTATGTTCAGACCTTCGGGCGCTTGCACAGGTCCTGATGCAAAAAAGGGTTTCGGGTTTAGTTCAGAGTCTGGGACTGATCGGCAGAGTCTGGGCTCAAAAAAGTTCAGGGTTTAAGGGGGGTTTTAGGGTTTGGGGCCTAGGGTGGGCTTTGGGGTTAAGGGTTTCAGGGTTCAGGGTTTATGTACAAGGTTCATGCTTTGCCGCTTATTCATGATAGTCCCAGCGTATTTTGCATTAGCTGAATAAAATGATGAATCCTCGTGCGCGAGACAGCGACCGAGAGAGAGAGAGAGAGGAAGGGAGTCAGTGAGGGGGCACCCGGCTTTGAGGGGGTCGGCAGAGCCCCCCCAATCCTCGTAGTCCGGAAAGCCAGCATCAGATACCAGTTCGAGTCTCTGATAGAACCCGACAAAGCCTCAATACAACCCAGAAAGTTAACCAGCCTCATTCCGGCTTAGGGTTTAGGGTTTAGGGTTTAGGGTCGGGAAAGCTGGCTCCGCAGTAAAGCTGCTAGGGCTGCTTGCTCCAACTCCGGGCGAAGTGGAAAGCCTGTTGCAAGCGTCGGGAATTCACTCCCAAAGCTTGCCCAAAACCCTAAATTCCCAAACCCCCAAACCCTAACCCAGCATTTCCAAACCCGAGGAGCTCAAGTTCTCCAACGGTGGCGGCGGAGCACGTCGTCAGGCCTCTCCCTGAAGTTCATTTTTCCTGGGACTTGTTTGATGCTTTCGAGCTTTCTGATGAGTTCTCATGCTTCGGGGTTTAGGGCTTATCGAGGCTAAAGTTTGGGGTCTAGGATTTAGGGTTGAGGATCTAGGGTTCATATTTCAGGAGTTCGTGCAATGGGTTGGGGGCCTGGGTACCTCAAAGAGCATCAACTTGTGCCAGGTTTGAGGTTTGGCATTTTAAGGAAACATTCTAAACCCTAAACCCTAAAGCTAGGCTCAGATGATCAGTTGAATTAGGGTCTGTCATGTGCTCCCTTCCTTTCCGGGGGAGAAGGAGCCCTATGATGTGAAGCCTTACTTCCTTAGCTAGCGGAACTCGTGCTTTTCAGGAAGGCGTTATTATGAAGTTGCCGTATCAGGGACATATGATAATTGTCTCGCTGTGATTCTTATGTTCTTATGATACCCTTAGGGATAACTTTATCTGGTTTGCCGCGAGCGAACTCAGGAAACGGACCTCAGAATCTCGGAATCCGAGCCCCCGGAAGCTAAACAAAAGAGGCCATCGATGACTTCGAGACCCACCTGGGAGAAGCCACAGAGCCGCTCGGGTTTAGAGTTGTGGAGGATAGGGGGGCGTTGGGGGATATTGGGAGTTTACGGTTGCCTCTTCAGGCCTGTCATCACTTCTTGGCCTAGTTTAGGGCTTAGGGTTTAGGGTAGTTTTGGGAGGGTAGACGCTTCGGGAGCATTGCACGGGCTTCTTTAGGCACTTACTGCTATGTTGGCTGTCATGACGAGACCACTTGCAAAACTATTTCGAGCTCTCTGTGTTGGGCGATGCAAAATTTCTGCCCTCACATTGGCATGATGATGTTGCATGTCTCTGGGGCCACGGCACGAGCTCTTATAGAGTGCTGCGACCCGTGCTAGTAGTAATTACAAATTACCCCCGGCTGCAGACTCCAGCTCCCACACCCCATACCGCTTCGGATAGGTGTGAATGATTCTGTGAACTCAGGAAGTGCGAGCGCAACCGTGGCAAGTATGAGCGCCTGGCTCGGTGTCCCGGCTCCCGCTTCAAACTTCTGCTGATAGGGCCTGATAGGTCAGAAGGGGCGTTTATTAAACATTTCAGGTTCAGGGTTGGGGGGAGTCATTGAGTCTCTGTAGGGCTGTAGGGCTTAGGGTTTAAGAATTCATCCGTTTTAAGGGCCTACGTTCAGCATCTGGGGCTTCATTAGGATTGCAGGTAGGATTTCATGCCGGCTGCATTTCCGCAGGGCCGAGTCTAGCCAGTCTTGCCAAGTACCCACGATCCTCGACGCTGCGAGAAACGCGAATCTGGCATTTACGGCTGACAGTCTGACAGGTGCCTGAGCCCGTGCGAGAGAGAGGGTGTTAACGAGTATTCAGCGTAAACGGCACGCGAGAAAACTAGTGCAGCAGGTGTTGGCGGGCTTAATGCTGGCTTCATCCAGGAAGGATGCCAAGATCCCGTGACGAGCCAAACATCCGACCTCCCGAAAGAAACTTGGGGCATGGCGCACTTTTCTTAATTTGCACCTCACAGAAATTACACCAAGTCAGTAGTAGTAGGAGTAGTCGGTTTTCAGCACCCGACCCTGCTGTCGATGTGCTTCAGCCGAGGATGCTCATTGATGTGAAGGCATGCTGCTAGTTGCAACTAGCTTTAGGTGAGCGCTGCGTGTCGTGGTTTGGGTTTCAGAAGTGTGCGTGAGGGAGCAGAAGGCTGAGTTCAGGAATGCTCCATGACTACTTGCGGCAATGATGCATTTGTTTCGACCATGTTTCGATCATGTTTTATGCAACCGGCAAGAAGACTGATCCGACACCCTGAACGCAATTCATGCACAAAGACAAACACGAAGCGACAGGCTGGCATCAGTCATTTGGCCGAGATGCGTGCCAGCACTTGAGCTCGAGGGCTTGGGGTGGGTCTCGGGTTAAATGGCGATTTGGCATAGTTGGCTGACGTGTACGTCCCTAGCACATGTCTAGGAGGTTACGACTTAGAGCTATATCTTACATCCCTTAGGGAGGCAAGACGGCTGTGCTTGTGGCACAACGAGAATGTAAAGCGTTTGCCATGGACTTGCCCAGAGGCTCCATATGTACGGCATTTATGGAATTAAGCACCAAGGGAACACGCTTATCAAGGTTTGGGGGCCGTAAACCCTAAACCTAGTTCCATAGAGGTTGTTTACATGAAGCCTCTTGGTTACAGACCGGGCGTAGACGGAAAGTTGATATTCTATAGAGATTTTCTGGAAACGGGACGACTGACGATACTGCATTAGAGTTTACGGTTCCTGGATGTATTTATGTAGTGCTACTGTTGACTGTAGTATACGCCAAAACCCGACTCTAATTGTTAAGGCCGCTTGTTGCACTCTGAGGAAGGCGCCTCCTGGCTGCGTGTCCCTTCTTGTGGTGGCTTGTACTCTGAACTGAACTTTAAATCCCGAAGCCCTGAACCCCTTAACCGAAAACCCTAAGCCCGAAACCCAAACCCCCCTTTAAAACCCAAATAAACCCTGCAACCTGCAGCTTTCAAGCCCTTCTCCCTAGGAAACTTCAGCCCATCAAGCTGGATGGAGAGGTGACTCAGCCGACTCTTGCTGGCAACTTAGTGGTTAAAGGGCTCAGGGTCAAGGGAATTAGGATTGGTTGGTTGGTTTAGGGCTCAGGGTTTTTAGGGTTTGGAGTAGGTTTGCCCACTGCTGGCATGTGGGAGCGCTGTGAGAGAGCCGGAATAGGAGACGAGACAAGGAGTTAGGCTTAGAGGGTTGAAGGCTCAGGGTTCGCAAAAGGCGTTGGGTTTAAGGCGTCGTGCCGAGTTTGTTGGGTTGCAGTGAACTTTGAGGAATGGGCGTGCCAGTTCGTTGGCATGTTGCCCATTTGGCATCGCAGAGGTCCTGATTATCAGCAAGCAACAGCACAAGCAGACAACTGCCCCAACAATCCCGCCTCAACTCCGGTTCTGAAGTCACGACTCAAAATGTCCGGAACCATCCGGAACCAAACAAACTTTGCTTTTACGATTGTTGAAGAGCGGAGGATGGAGATGAGCGATGAGACCGTGGAAGAGGTCCTGCAGGAGAGGTCTACGTACTCCTTCGAATTACTTGGTCAGCGCAGTCGGCGCCAAAGCAGCGGCGGTGTGTCCTAGTAGTAGCATGAGTCGTAGTACTAGCAGGCAGTAGGCAAGAGGCTGTAGGTAGTTTTCAGTAGGAAGCATGCTGTAGCTGGTGCCTCTTGGCAGTGGGTAGCAGGCAGTGGGCAGTAGAATCCTAGCAGTAGAGGCAGCAGTCGTTGTCGTAGTCTCTGGGTTTTTTTTGAAGAGGCCGAGGGATTGTTGCAGAATTTCAAATTTCGTGGCGCACAGAATCCGGAGCCAGGGTTTTGGGGGACTTTCATGTAGGGTTTTAAGGTTTGGTGTTATTCCGGCTCTAGGATGCTGAGCTCCAGAATCGGAGAAATGGGGTTTGAGGTTCAGGCTTCAGATTTGCGCCGCTGAGGTTCGCGCTTAGGGCGGCTTCTTTCAAGACTTGCTTTTGGGGTTGGAACAACTACCAATAGTATTCCTTAGGGTTCCTTATCATAACTATATCAGAATATGAACGCCATGGCTCTTTAGTATAATTAGAGTATAATATATACCCCCAAAACCCCTGTTCTACAGTGGTTTTTATATATTAAAGGGCCCTACATGAACCTCCGGGGCCGAAGGAGTGTGAGAAGAAGATCTCCAAGCTCTTGGGCTCCTCGCAGCAACGCCGTTCGGGAAGTTCAGGGTTTCCCCGGACCCCAAGAGTATGTAGAGCAATGGCCGTTTTGGGGTTTAGGGTTTAGGGTTTAGGGTTTAGGGTTACCCCCAACAGTATGAGAGGTGTTGGGCCATTATTTTGCTTACTTTTGGGCGGCTTGGGGTAGGATTTGTCCCCCAACTTTCCGTACCGCCTCAAATGGGCCTCACACTCCCGAAGCCTGAGTTTCGGTGTCAGCGTGTAGCTCCCGAAGCCCAAGGCCAGCAACATAGCCTAGCACCAACAGCACCAAGCAGCCCAAACCTTAACACTTTAAGCCAACTTCTAGAGTCTAGAGCATAAGGGCTTTAGGGTTTAGGGTATGAGCTTCTGTAGGCTCAGACATTCAGGCGATTGCACAAGTCCTGATGCAAAAAAGGGTAAGACTCTCTAAGATTTCAAGGCCAAGACCCAAAGGTTGGAGGGTCAGGCCTGAGCTGTACAGGGCTACGGTTTCTACTCGCGAGGTTTCTTGTGAAGAACATCTTCAGGCATCGTAGGGTGGGTTGCCAATGTTGCTTCTTCCATACTTAATCACAATAGTTATAATTCGAATAATAATGATAAGCATAAGAATAACAGTAGTAATATCAATTCTTAATGGTAATAATAATCATCATACTGGTCCTTAACCTCCCGAAGCCCCGTGAGCCTGCAGCCCCTCCCCAAGTCGAAACCGAACCCCTCTGCCTTGTTCAACGCAGCTTGCCGGGAGGCCTGACGGCTCGCTTCGAGGCTGGCGTGTGGTGGGCGTTTGGTTCTGGATGTCTGTGTTTAGGGCATAAGACTTGCAAACTTGTTCGGCCATCGTCCAGGGAATTCGGATGCAACAAGGATATCTTAAGCATCTGTGGCTTGATAATTACACAATCAGGGTCTGCAGCAGGAGCGGCAGCAATTAACGATCGTGCCTCTGCTTCTGCTTGTCTTGGCGGTGCGCTCGCGTGGTATAAGAGGCAGGAATTGGAGACCACAGAGGCACTGGCTCAGGGCAAAACGTCCCTTCAACAGGCTCAGCGAAAAGCGAGTCACTGAATCGATTGTGGAACAGTTTTTCTTTCCCTTAATCCCTAAACCCAAACCCTGATCCCTTAACCCTCAACTTCTTCATGCAGCACTTAACATGGGCTTCGGGGCCCCAGGGTCGGCGTGCTCCCTGACAAGGAAGTCAGCGAACACCAGCGTCAAATCGACGAGGAACGATATGAAGAGAAACTTGGCTGTCCGAGGGCCAGGTAGTCATCGACTGCTTGGCTTTCAAGCTTTGGGTGTAGAGTTTAAGGCAGGATGCATTGTGGGGTGCTGGCATTCATCAAGTCCAGATGTAAAAAGGCAGGATACATTGTGCTAGGGTTTTCAGAGGCTCAGGGCTTTAAGAGCAGCACGACCCATGGTTTGTGTCATCCTGTCTCAGACTCAGTTGAAAGCTAGCGCCGACCCACTACTGGAAACCCTAAACCAGAAACAAGCCCCCATGACCCTATTGTAAGTCTCATCAGACCAACGGACACAACCTCGCCGGGAGAGTCCGAGAGTGAGAGCCGAAGTCTAGTTACTGTAAAACCTTGCAAGACCCGAAACCGTGCTGTCCCACATCGCGCTTGTTATTTTTACTACTTCCTCATGGCCAGAGCGCACGTAGCTTAGGGTTTAGGGATCAGGGTTCGAGTATCAAGAGCTGTTCTCAACCTTGAAGCCGAGGAAGCTGATGATGAGGAGCCAGTCAGAAGCTGCGGGCTCAAGTTGTTCCACAGGAAAATACCGAGGGCTCCTACGTAGCTGAGGAGGTACTGGGCTACATGGTTATCGATTAGAAGCTTGCTGCTACTTAATTAGATAGTTAACAGGTGGGGCCTACGGGAAGTACTTTAATTAGCAGTGATACCTGTGCAGCGTCTTCTTCTCATCATTGGCCTTGCTAGTATTGGTCTTTGATCATAGGCTGTGTTTGTCATCACTTCGCGGAGACTCTACGGAATGCCGAAGGCTGCTCCCCTGGTTCATGGCGGGATGCTTCAGACTGATGGAAAACATGTTCTGGGTTCTAGAGAACCATACTTTTAATACTTTTTTACAAGTTGTTGGAGACCTGTTCCTGAAAGGAGGCCATTATGAAATACAAGTTTATACTTGTTTCTCCCTGGCCAAGCTCCCGGAAGCAGATCCGACGTCAGATCCGAGTAACCACAGACACCTCAGCAGTCGGGTTGAGGCAAGCGTAGGGCACTGCAGGGTTCTGGGTGAATAGTTGGGGTCTCACGCCATAAGCCATGGGCTGCTCGGACTATGCCCTCATAGCTCTTCGAATTCCTTTCTACATCGAATATAGGGGCCGAAATAATTGCCTATACTATTTTGGGGGCTTCTTATGGTGATTATAATAGATCGGGGCCCCATTCTTAAGGCCCCTACATGTGATTCGAGGCGAGAATCAAGCTCACAGACAAAGAGGAGGATAACGAGGACGATGACGACTTCGAAGAGGAGCTCAGGGTGTCGGAGGATGATGGGATAGTGACTGGGTCAAGTTTCGGAGTGAAAGGCCTTGTGGTATGCCATGCCCCATAAATACTCTTAAAATAATACGGTTTAGCTACTTATATACATATATATATGTGCATAATATAGAAATATCTATACTGATATCTATATATATATATATAGATGTATGCACACACTTATCTCGAACTAGTGAGGCAATGGACTGGCACAGGCTGGAGTGCAGAAGCCTGTGGTTCTTCAGATGGCATGCGACGTTCCGTGGAGGTCGTCTTGAAGGGAGGCATGCCCTCGGCTCATGTGCCCCTAACCCTCCAAGTACCTGCTATGTAGGATTTTTTGGGCTCTAGTACCCTCTATAGTGGGTACCCGGAAGGTTAGGGTGTGTGGTTTTTCCACCTTCTTCCAAGCCCAATCCTGGGACTTACGACAACCTGCTCCAAATCGGAGATGGTTGCAAAGGCTAAACCCTGACCCGCAAAGCCGTTCGTAGGAGATGGATGAAGATGTCTTCAGCCGCAAGCAGGCCGAATCCCAAGTATCGAGGTTTCAGATTCCGGATTTAGGGAGCAGTTAAGTGTAGAAAGTTCATTAACGTCTGAGACATAGCTCGTTTAGGGATTTTCGGGCTGTGAGTTTTAGACTCAGCTGGGTTGCAAGTTTCTGACGAGAGCTTTGGCGCTCAAGTTCGACGGTGAGGTTTCAGGGACGGGCTTCATCATACTCCCTGTAGACCTTGTTGCCAAGGCCTCAAGCTTGCGAAGATTCCCCCAGCCCCAAAGGGAAATCCTAAGCCGATGAAGCACGGTTTAGGTGGTTAGGGTGCTGGGGTCATCCGTACTTGGTCTTCCAGGGCAAGATTTCCAACTTTCTGGGCTTCTACAGTACTGCGACTTCGTATCCAACTTCAAGCTGCTGCCACATTTGCTTTGCTGGCTCTTTGCAATGAGGGCTGGCCTGTTTTGCGATATCACACCTTCCTCCACACAGTGCATATACTAGAGCATGCGAAGAAGACGGTATAAGTTATAACGTATAACCAGTATAAGTGTACATAGAAAAATTAACCTAAATATGCATAGGTGAACAAATAAATAAATATATATATATATATAGAGAGAGAGAGGTACACACAGTAAGTGTACTTTCAAGTAGACTAGCCTCAGCATCCTTCCCTCGCCGCAGGCCATCCAAAATAGCGAGCAGATCCTGGAGAAGCACCAGACAAAGAACCGGCAAAAGGCCTTTGACTACTTTCACGAGTTGGACACGAGGGTTGAGGATGCTTTGTGCTAGGATTCGTTCGGCTGTACGTTAAGGGCAGGCAGATTGCGATGTTTGACTTTCTAGCTGATTCTAGCTTCTATCTAGCTCCTATCTGTTATTCTCTATTTCAGAGGGTCCATGTGCACCATTTTACACTACCATCCTAGAACCCGTCCCTGAAACCAGCATTGGCGTGGCCCTTCCGGGGCCGAATTCCAGCACGGTAGTATGCATGGACCCTCTAGCCCTACATCCTAAACCCTAAACTAAACCCTAAGCTTCAACCCTAAGCTGCTAGGCTTTTTGCATGCTAAAGCTTTGCATGTTCAGGGATCGAAATGATAACAAAGCGTTTTCAAGCGCCTTTCGGGCTTTTAGCACAAGAGGGTTTTTCTTGGAGTTTAGGTTTAAGTTTAGCATTTAGGAGGTTAGGGTTTAAGGATTTAGGAATTCAGGGTTTTAGGTTTAAGGTTCGTCGGTTCCTGGTATATGCATGGCCAACGTGTAAGGAGAGTTCCTTGCAGCTACAGTAGCAATTGCCACCAACTTGCAAGCTCGCAAGCAGTGTGCACACGCATTAGACCCGATAAACAGGTATGTGAACAGATAACTTCAGATGAACATGCGTATGTGCAGACCTGTATCTGTAGCTACATTTCTACCACTGGTATTTACAGCTATATCTATACACGCATCCTGCCAAAGTAAAATAGAGTTCGTTAAAAAACCTCATTTTACCACCCTGCAACCGCCCAAGAACTCTGACTCTCGGTCCTCACAAACCGGGGATTTTTCAATATCATGGCACAGTAGTTGTTCTAAGGGCTTTGCATCCACTTTCACGGGCATTCCAAAGGAGCTTCTTAAAAGTGTGATTACTTTCTGAACAATTTCGATATGATAAGGATTCGACTAATTTTGTGATGCAATGGTATTGGCGCACCCTGTGTTCGGACAACCCAAATTACCTGAATAAAGACACCACATCATGTCTTTCTCTTTATACATATATATATATATATATACATACACACACACACACATTTTTATATATACACAGATATACACGTACCCCTCGCTTACCAGGCCCTTAGATACTAACCTACGGTAAGTTCGGTAACGAAGGCATATAAACCCCCGAAGCCTTAAGCCACCCAGCTGCAGGGCAAGGGCAAGAAGAAAGACTAATCTCCTGTGGCCAAGTCGCGATCTCAGCGACGTGGTGTTCGTAGGGTTTAGTATTAGTGTCTAGAGTCTAGGGCTTAGGGTTTTAGTATGGTCGTTGCTGACAAGTAGCTACGCAATTGGTTTTTCAGCGGCTGCAGGTTTATACGGGTTTCCGGTTTTTGCAATAAGGGTCCTGCCATCAAAAATCCTGTTGTTTACAAAGATGTACTTTGTTGACAGCTTTCATGGATCCGGGGGCTTAGTCTAAGGGCAGATAGGCCCAAAGATCGCATTGCAATGAGAAAGTGCAGCAAGACGTCCAGGTTCTGCTAAGATTGCAACAGAGTTGTGGAAGGCATGATTCGGATCAAGCTGTGCCCGTTTCCGAGGTCGCACTTACTCTTCGAGGTGCCCTTGTGGTACTTGAGAGCTTTGTACTCGCGGCCTGCGCATTAGGTCCGAGTTGTAGGTTTTGTAGGAAGTAGTTCCTTCTGCTTGGAGATGTCGTGCAGATGTCTGACACACTTCATGCTAGGGGTAATATAGCGGCCTTGATAATTACCTGTACTATTTTTTGGGTTTCATATTATAGTTATACTGTAAAATGCCCCCAAACCCAATTCTAAATTCTAAAAGCCCTTGCATAAGCCTTTTCCGATGTTTGTCTTGGTCATACAATGCACGTGCTGACAGTTCCAACCATTTCACAGGTGCGCGACTGTCTCAGACAAGCTCTTGATTTGATGTGTCTTACCTGGTACGGGTGGACATGGTACCCATAAGCTCCATTGTAGTTCCTGTTTAGGACTACCTTAAAGGATCCTAAATATATACCAACAGGAACTACGATGGAGCCTATAGGTACACCGACATCGCAGTTTCTTTGTTTCGGGCCCGAGGCCTCTCTACATTTGAGCAGAGAGGCTGGGGGCCAATTTCACCGTGATCTTGCCGACGGCATGTTCGGGCACGGAGGCCTCCGGACACCCAGCAGCCGAAGAGCCCCCAAAGGTGCCCTCGATGGAAGGTTTAAACCTCACGATCTTACGAGTCAAGAGCAAAAAAAAGGCCCGAGAACCCTACATGCAAATCCCAAAACTCCCAAACCCAATGCCAAACCCGATAATGGCTTGTCCGAGCTGTGAGAGTGTATCTTAAACCCTTTAATCACCCCATCCCCCCTCACCCCAAAGTCCATAAACATAAAGAGCAAAGCACCTTAAATCAGCTGCAGCCAAAGCCCGAGACGGGTCCCTTAACTCAAAACCTAGCGCGCCTTACTTATGCAAGCTTTACATCCTGTATCTGGGCAGTTCTCTAAATTAGGATCACGTTTTAGATCCTCAAAACAGTACGGCATGCTTATAGAAGGGATCCTTACAGGGACCCTGATCTAGAGAACTACCCATCTGCATAACGGGGAGCATCGTAGGCAAGCCACATTCAACTTTTCCCAACACCCTTTCCGGGCCCGTTTAACATCGTTTAACCGGAATAACCGTTTCATAGCACCCATACCAAACTACCCTAAACCCTAAACCCTAAACCCTAAACCCTAAACCCTAAACCCTAAACCCTAAACCCAAACCCTTCAAGAGGGAAAAACCCTAAACCCTTCAAACCCATGGAGTCTCCCGCGGCTTGCACAGAGCCACCCGGACAGCTCCAGTGTCGGCAGAATTCGCTCCCTTGTCTCGCCCTGAGGGTCCGAACTTGTTAGGTAAGGGTTGCGGGATTTAAGGGTCCTGACTTTTTAGGGTTTAGGGTTTAGGGGTTTGGGTTTCCTAAGGTGACTGAGGAAGGCTCTGCCCTCGAGCTTCGATGCCGGCATACACTGCAATTCCATGCTTTAAAAGGGGTTTGGGTTTAGGGTTCAGGGTTCAGGGGTTTGGGGTCTAAGGCTTTGAGGATCCGATTATGTCAGATTGATGCGAGGGCTCCCGCATATGTCTGAAACTCCCAAATCCAAGACGGTGGGCTGCTATTTTTTTCCAGGGACATCGGTAGTTCTCTAAATTAGGGTACACTCCAGGGTCCTCCCTAAACCCTAAACCCTATTCTCTAAATTAGGGTACACTCCACGATCCTCTTCATAAGGGTGACGCCATCTTTGGGGTTCCTAAAATGGGACCCCGAACTTAGAGAACTACTTATTAAACCATGCATGGGTAACTACTCGGGCCCTCCATCTGGGTCTTGCTGTGAAACTGAGCAAGCAGAGATGGCAGTGTTAGCAATTCGCTGCCTGCTCCTCGGACTTTAGAAACTTTAAAACTGAGAGTTGAAGGCTTGCATGTTGACGCTGACTCATTTCACTGATGCGTGCACGTGTTCTGTTCTCTGTTTGCTCCAAAGTTTGTAGCATTTCACCTAGGAGCTCACGCTCCCTCCGCGAGTTTCTAGCAGCAGCCGCTCCAGCTCACGAAAGTGACTGAGCCCACCCTGCTCGTGAAGACGAAAATTGCAGCTTCCGGCCCTTTGCCGGATCTTTTCAGGGTGTCGGCTTCAAACGTTTACTAGGTAGACTCCTGGGAGATTGCAATATACTCGTATCTGATAAGAGGGTCTCGTCCACCCATATAATCGCATATTTTTCAGACGACTTCAAGGGCCCACCCACCCTTGGTTTCTGAGCTGGCTGTTGCACCCATGGGAAATGTGATACTCCCTGCTCTATTCGTAAAGATTCCGAAAGTGAGCCTTTAAGAAAGGATTCGGATCTTTAAAGGGGGGGAGGTTTCTAAGGTCACAAGGGATCCTCGGAACCTTAGGCGACCCAAGGGAGTACTGGGTAGAGATACTGGGTATTTGCACATAGAAGGAGCCCCATTTTCCGCAGTCCGCACATGTTGTCTTCTCAACACTTTGGATTTTTTCCCAGACCCTAAACCCTGAAATCCCCTAAAACGCCGGAGCGCACAACCCTAAGCCCTGAAACTTTCAACCAAGCACCCAAACTCTGTACCCTCCCACGAGCCAGGCTCTGCAGCTCGCGAACTACAGCTGCTTGGATGAGATCTTGCAAGACTAAACCCTAAACATCCCCCAACCCCAAAATCAACCTAGGACATGGGTTCGGGGCGGAGAGAGTGGTGTAGAGGGGCTGCAGGCATTTCTGCTTGCAGAAATGTAGACATGATTCTGCAGCGGCGTAGGCAGATGTTGCCGAGTGCTTCCCATGGGCTTTGTTGCCGATTTGTGGCTTGTAACTTCGGAATGTGCACAATTATACCCGGATTTACTGAGAAGGGTTATCATGACATGTCATATGACAGGGTCAAGGGAACGCTAAGTATCTAGGAACATCAGTTAGGTGGAGGTTTGTAGGCTGCGATCGGTGCTGTGCCGCCAAGTGAGAAGTAGGGTTCAGGGTTTAGGAACATAGGCAGGACAGCACCAGAGCAACACCAATAGGACTCACACTGCAGAAAAGGGGTTGCCCTTAACCCTCGAGAAAAAACACTCCCGGTTCTGAATGATGGTCGCCCTCCGATAGTTCAGACAACAGAGAAGCTTGTATTTTGGTTGGAAACCAGGCATTTCCATGACGACTCTCGAGGAGGTCTTCATAACTTTGGGGGAGCAGGCGAAAATCCTTGGGTCGGAGATCCTCCATAAGGAAGGGGCCTAAAGAGTTACCAATATCATTTTCGGGGGTTTCCTTATTATACTAGAACGGGCCCAAAACCCTAGTCTGATTATTATTAAGGCCCGTATATTCTACGGGTTCTAGAAGAAGTCGTTCAGGGTTCAACAGGAATTGAAGGGTTCTGGACGGCTGGTTTAGGGATACTCCCAGGATTCGGGTATGTTGTCCCTCAAGGCCCTCGGCTATATGGTTTCTACAGCTGTCTCTACACTGGACGTAAAGCATCTATATGATGACAACCCCCCCCCCCCCAGGCCAATGTAAACTACTTGGGCACGGGGACACTTGGCCATACAGCTTTAGGGCTCCAATGTTGTGCGTGTTGGGGTTTTGTGTTGCTTGCCGTTGTCTGGGTATATATTCGGAGCAGACGGAGCTTCCGGGCGTGAAGGCAAGCTTTCCGCAACAGAAGTTCGTGTTGCATGTTGAACTTGAACGACGGTTATGCATAACACGCAATTTTCTTGTCGCTTCACCTTTGATCGGTCCGATTGCAAAGGAATGATTTTCTATCCGTATTCAAGCCCCGAATCATAGCCGCTGAGCCCTGCATCCTTCTTCCCGCACTTCCACACCCCTATCCCCTACGCCCCCAGACCATCCCAAACCCCGCTTTCCGGAGGCGGAGCGTGAGGCTGCAGTAAGCTCGCCGATGCGCGATCGCGCGCGCCCGGGCCCCGGCTTCTCTGAGATTCGGGGCCTACGAGTTTGTAGGGTTGGTAAAGCAGGCTTGGGGGTTCAGGGTTTTGGGTTTGAGGTTGCAGGGTTGATAGGGCTTGCTGGTTGGATGAGGTTACTGCCGGGGGGGAGACTCATACTACATAGACAGGATGTGATGGATTGTCGTAGAAGGCGCTAAGCTTGTCCATAGCTTGAAGTGTATTACCACTCCATCGTTGCAAGAGAGTTTATACACTTCATGCGAAATACACCTCTTTGTAGGTTTCTTCTTGCTCTGTATTGATAGAGGTCCTTGCAGAGTTTACAACGTTTGTCGTCAGCTTATGAGAGCTGAACCCTAAACCTTAAACCCCTAAACCCTAAACCCCTAAACACTAGCCTACGGAGGGCCTGAGACCTGCGGTAGTGTTTCTTGGTTCGGAAAGGTGAACCATGAAACCCGCAATGCCAAACTCCTAACCCTTCCCACGCTGCAGGGGAGAACGTGGATTTTAGAGAGATCGAGGCCGACACAGAGGCAATTGCGGGAAGTTTGGAAAGCATATTTAGTGTGCGGGCTCAGGATCTAGGCCTGGGATGTAGAAGAGGCTCTGGGCGGAGGGTCGACAAACAGGATGGGGGCACATACGAGTTAGTCGAGCACGTGTTACAGTCGCATGAATAACCTCAGACATGTGATGCGCACATGCAGCTCTACAGAGCCTTTGCTGGACGTGCACATACATAGCCAAGTACCGCCCGCGAGAGATAAATGAAGCAGACAGTCGCAATTGGGCCATGAGTATGTCAACAGGCCGCATTTAAACCCAATCCTGGGTTTCCAGCCAAGTTGACAGGAAGCTGACTGCATGAATCTATCTTCAGATAGGAGCTCGCTGCATATGTAGAGAGGGTTTACACAGAATACAGGGAATGTACCGCTGGCAAGATGCGACGGCTGCCGGGTCTCAGTATGTCATATGGCTCGTAATGATTGAACCTCTTTTTTTTTTGGGGGGGGGGGGCAGTTCTACTACACCTAAATACACTAGCGGCTTTTCATGGCATGGCGGGGCGCACTCCGAACATCCTACAGGATCCCACTTGGTACTCCAGATCTGAAATGTGTCTGGACCCTGTACCCTGCATGAAATACCCTAAACCTTGAGCCAATAAGCCCAAACCCTCAACTGCAACCATTTTCAAACCTTAGAGCCCTCTTGGAACCTGCCAGGAATGAACCGAACGATGCTATAAGCCCTAAACCATCCTAAACCCCAAACGATTACAGCCCTGAGCCCGAGACCCATTCTTGAAGGCAGGGACTCTGCGATTGGAGACTTCGGAGACGCGATCAGCCAAGGCCATGATGCGCTTGAGGTCCCGCTCCCAGGTTCGTTTTTGTTTTGGGTTTTTAGGGTGTAGGTGTGTTCAGGCAGTTTAGGGTGTTCAGGGTTTTCAGGGTTTTTCGCTCTTAGGTTGGAAAGCTTAGGGTTGAGGGAGGGTCTCTACGAGATGTTTGCAGGGGCTTCAGGTTTGCGCCAGGTTATGAACAAGTTCCATGCAGAGCTTACTATTTCGAGATACAGTCTTGATTCTCGGATAGGGCTGGGTGCAGATTTCATTGTGCTTGGGCACGAAACTTTTCGAAGCTTCATATATGTGCAATTTGCACGTTTGCGAAGCCGGTATGCGATCATATGCCCTCAGCCCACGAACCCCAAGTTCATGTCCGCCTGCACTACATCCGAAACAGAGAATCTGCAGACCCAGGAGGCAGCACAACATCGAGAATCTCAAATCAAAGATGTTTGTATACAAAGCATGGTTTAAAAATACCACACGATGTTATAGATCATATCGCGCTACACAAACACACACACACAAAAAAAAAAAGTATATATATATATATATACATATATAATACATGTGTATTTGTGTATATATATATATATATATGCCGAAGGTTCTCATTTCGCCCCCAAGCCTGGAACGACTGCATTCTACCGCCCGAGCACCTCGGATCTTGGCCAGGTTACGCCTGGCAACAGCCAACCGCAGCGCCGTTTACAGCGTGCTCTTTGCAATGCTTTTCTTGGACGCTTCCTCGGGTCGTGGGCGAAGTTCGAGCATAGGTCAAAGGCCGAAAACGCATTAGGACGACGAAGCCCTGTCGAGCGTCCTAGCGGGGAATAAGCCCAGCCTCCCAGCCTCCTAGATCCCAACCATAAGGGTCCAAGTGCTTCTCTCTCGACGTCGGATCCTGTGCAGGAGTCGGCACCTACAGATCCCAAGTTTGGATATTCATGTGTAGGCTTAATCCGTCAGGCAACCGATGCAAATCAGGATTTGTTGGACTCGTAAACAGAATGGGCGCTGAATATATGTGGGGACATGAGGTGACATGGGTATTGCGGCCTGACGTGGCGTGAGCGTGGAGGTTAGAGTTGTATGATCTGGCTAACATGGTCCAACATAGCAATATCAGGACTCTTCAGGGTTGGCTCCTAGTTGGTTGAAACCACTGAAAGTTTGGCATCATGTCTCACGGGAAGTGTAGGGCATCGGGCTAGGTTTCTCGGTTGAAAGTTTGCTCTCTGTTAGGGGACGTGTAGGTTACAACAGAACCTCGGTTTAGGGTTTAGGGTTCCTGTGCTGGAGTTGAACAAGGCTCATGTAGGGTGGTTGAGGCTTTGGGTTTAGTGTTTAGGGGCAGCTCTGGTCCATCAAACCAAGTTAGTCTGTAAGCCTCATCCCGACCTTTAATCCTTATAGTAGTCGGAAACTGTGTAAAGCAATCCCATATAGTCCTGGCTTATTAATACAAAATATCCCCCCTCCAATCATCAAGACCCTAAACTGAGCCTACAGCTGCAGGGCTCCGCGGGAGATAGGAGGAGTTGGGAAGATCGTAGCAAAGCCTGAATCCTACACCCCTCTAAACCCTGAAGCGCGATCGCCCGAGACCTTGCCGTGAGAGTGTAAACCCTAAAGCGTGGTGGCTGCACAGAATCCTAAGCCCGAGCCCTCCCAAAGCTCCAAGTAGTTCCTACTGACGTTGCATGTATATATATATATATATATATATATTTACATATGTATATATATATATATATGGATGTATGTGCGTAGTTGTCTAAATTGGGGTCCCTTTTAAGATTTTAGGGTCCTTTTTATCCGGGCGCCGTACTATTTCAGAGCCCTGAAAGGGACCCGAGTTTAGAGATCTACCCGTGTGGCAGCATAGTCCGAACTTCAAGCTTTTGTAGATCAGCCTGTGTCCGAAGTACCGAGAATCAAGTCCTACCGCCTTACTGACATAGAGGTCTCAACAAATAGCGCTACGTCCTTATCGTCCCTACATGATTGCCCCCCTATAAGAATAAGGACCATACGAGAATATATCACAGGAGGCCAAAGTAAACCATCAGTCCAAGACCACTCAGCCTCAATGGCTGAAGTTCAATGCATTTAACCATCGATGGCCCAAGGGCTCCATTTGCAAAACTAGCTCTTACACACATATCATGTATCCTCGCATTTCATTCTTTGGGGCGAGTGGTGCCCCACGGTAACCCATACCACTATCCTGGGTCCGATGCGAAGCCAGGTGCTCATCCTACCGTCGATCTTCAACATCTTGACATTCTCGTTGCGAGGCAGGGTTGATAGCAACAAATGCATGGTTTAGGGCTGCAGAACCTGTCGAGTGTTGAGATTTCTGTGCTGATGGCGATGGAAACCGTCGTCGCCTTCGGTTTCTCGATCATTTACATCCGTGCCAATAACTTGTGCACTACTGCTTCTGGGCATCGCATCGGTAGTGAGTTTGACCATAGCCATAGTATGAATCCGCGAGGGAGCAGCAGTGGTGCTTCGACCATTGGCAACAGCTGGATGTCGCGGGCTCAAGGGCACGGGGCTTGTGGCTTGGATGGCTGGGGGGATTATATTGAATTGGGCCATGGCTGCGATGTTATTTCCTTCCGCACTGTGTGCGGGGCTCTGAACTTCCAATATTGTTTCCCTGGTTCCGAGGGTGGTTGCAACTTATCATGAAGCAACAGGGGGACAATAAGTTTACTCTGTGCGATGGTCCAACCAAGCGGCCGCAGCAACGGCGGAGGTCGGCACCGATTATCCCTACCTACCTGCTAGTATTTGGTGCCACTTCCTGATCGTACAAGCCGTGCGTGGTGCCATCCTGATGAGAATCATCGCCCCGTACTTTCTTTTGTTTTCTGCGACTTAACTTAGTGCACGGTTGGACGCACAGGAAGAAGCTCTTTTCTTCCGAGCTTCAAGCGTGCATGTGTGTGGGCAGGTGGGGTTGTGGGTGTGGGATGCCGTGAGGCGTGGGTGGCACATCGGGTGATCAAATCTACTTTGCCGGGAGTCGGCATGAGATTTCATATTTCGCGATCATCTTGAGCTTCTTGTTCTAGGCCTGGGCCGGTGGCAATCGGTGAAAGTCCTATGCAACGGTTGAGTTCCGGTAGCCTGAGGCTTGCAGTTTATCCGCCCATGGCTTTTGGCATTTCCATCGTCGCCTTCACTTTGCAGCTCGTGCGCGAGAAGGACCCTTTACCGGATGGGTGGTGCTTGTATCCAGCGCCTCTCCAGAATCCATACACGCAGGTCAGAACCTCAAACCCGCCCGTAATGTTCAACAACTCCGCCTGTTCTTTCGTTTATTTGTCCTAGTGCGGTCTGAGACCTTAAGCCCATCGGTGCACGTCGTGTGTGTGTGTGTCTACCAGCAAACCACCGGCACATAAAGCAAGGCTCTTCATGATGAAAGCCCCGGGTTCTCGGTTGAACTGTGCATTTCGGGTTTCGGGGTGCTTTTCTGAATGTGTTGGCGAACTTGCTGTCCCGTCTCTGCCGGATCTGGAAGAGTTCTCCAGTGCGTCTTGAGGAGCACAAGTGCAAGTACGTTGCACTCGCGCAGGCCATCATACTAGAGCTGCGTGCTCCCGATTGGCCTCTGTGTCCTAATGAGAAGGGATCTTGGTCGTAAAGCAATGTGTAAGTTGACCGCACGTACAGGGGGGGTTGTGGGTATCGAATCAGTGAGTCTAGCTCTCTGTATCTAAACCTCCAGAAGTAAGTAGATCAGGCTGGAGCTCAATCGGATCGCCATTGTTGGAGGTATGGAAGATGCCAAAGACTGCCCATTTTGTTGTCGGCCAAACTCTGGGATGCTCGTAATACAACGCAGAACATCTACGAATGCTTACTGTACTGCTTACAGACATAAGTTTCGCTAGCAAGTTACCAACATGGTCGATGTGGGCGCCAGTGCCAGAGTTCTATACCCGAAGCTCTACAAGACCCAGAGCCCCCCCAACTCTGCAAAGCCTCAAGGCCACTCACATTTCAATCCCGTAGCCTCCAATATAGAGGCCTGGCTAACATCCACGCTTACCAATGTTTTTCCTGAGGGCTCCGTTTTGCAACTATGCTACCATATACCCGGAACCGTAATGTAACCATTTAAGGCCTCTAGACTCCAGATTAGAGATCTTCCTGCAGGGCCTCTCGGTCAGAAGCTTCTGGCTGGGCACATTCGTGGCTGCTGGGCACGGAACAGATCCTGAAGATATGAATGTCTAGCATTGGGAAGTTTCTGTGAATTTTATGATTTCAGTCTTTCGGCTGTTAAGGAATCAAGGAATTCTGTCCCTTTATCCTCTAAGTCGTGTGCGTTTTCACGGCCACTCCCCCCTGCATATTCGACAGTTGCGACTCTGGCGACTACTAGGACTATGCCTACGGAATAGCCAAGTTGTTATTCCTACATACATATGCGCGACACGAGCGGCAAGTATGTGAACGCCTCTATATATTTCTGAGGCGTGAGGATGACACAACGGAGTACATGAAGAGATTCGCGTCTCACCTATCTGCGTATGTATGTGCATGCCTATGTATGCGTCTGGGTTGATTCTGATGTGTCTTCCTATGTATGTCCTTTATATCTATGTCTATGTGTGTGTCTATGTGTGTGTAATTATGTATACACAGAGACACACCTACGCAGTCTTGCATATGTGTGGGTGTATATATGCTCATACATGATCTGTACGTTTAGGTACACGCGCAGCAGATTCACACGTGCAGACGCGACACACAGGACACGCACATAAACAACCACATAATCTGCAACCACTGCATGATGAGACATGTGCATGTATTTACGTATGCATGTATGCATGTATGTATGTATGTATGTATGTATGTATGTGTGTATGTAAGTATGTATACATGTGTGTATGTATGTGTGTGTGTGTGTATGTATGGTTGGGTTGTAGGAAGTTGTAGTTATGTATGTTTATGTTACTGTACTTGCATATTGTATATGTATACGTTGCTGTGCGTGCACACACGCATAGAAAGAGAGATATGTGTGTATATATCTATATGTGTATATATATA